TTCTGTGTATGTATTAGTTAAAATGTTTTCTCATTTGTTGCTTTTATTTTCCCTCTATATAGTTATAATTTTGCTTTAATTATAATTTAGATAACTCAAGATGAGAAGAATAATCCATTGTATTTATTCATATTTTGCTTACTGGCTTACTGTTGTTTTCTTTGTTTCTTCTGGATTTTTAAAATTTTTTAGGCAATTCTGTGGTTTGAACTCAAGGCCTCACTCATTCTAGGATGACAGTTCCTTTCTCTCAGCACTTGAAAAATGTGTTCCATTGCTTTTTGACCTCCATGTGTTTTAATAAAATATGTGCTATCATTCTAAGCGCTTCACCTCTGTATGTAATTGCATCATTATTCTTGGAATGCTTTCAGAATTTTTATTTAGTGTTCAGAAGTTTGTGTATTGTTTCTTGGTATGGATGTCTTTAGGTTTATCCTGTTCAGACTCTGTACGTTTATGCTATTTACAAAATTTATAAGAGCTTTCAAGCATTGTTTCCTTCTATATTTTTTATTGCATATCCTTTCCCCTCTCTATGTGAGACTCTGACATGAATGTTAGATCTTTTGTTATTCTCCCATTGGCCCCTGAGGCTCTGTGTTCAGATTGGATAATTTTTTATTGTTCTACTTTACCATTCATCTTCCCCCTGTCTTCTCCATTTTTCTGCTGAGCCCATCCACTGAGTTTTTATTTTGCATATTTTATTTTTCAAGTTCTACAACTTTCATTTGGATCTACTTTATAGCATCTATTCCCTTGACGAGGCTTTCTATTTTTTCACTTGTAACAGCAGATTTGAAATTGTTCATTGAAACATTTCTGCCATAGCTAGTTCTGTTAGATATTTAATATTTTTATCATTTTGATGTTGGCATCAGCTGGTTGGTTTTTTTCGTTTAGTTTGAGTCACTCTGGTCTTTTGCATGTTGAATGATTTTTTATTGTTACATTACTTTGTAACTTTGACACTTATAAAACTTTCTGTCTTAACTGGCTTTGTCTGACACTGCTCCATCAGGGCAAAGGGAGGTGCTATCTTGCTACTTACAGGTGGAAATCGAATTCAAGGTTTCCTAATCAGCCTTTATATTGACCTGTGAAAGGAGAGGCTCCTGTTGCTGCAGAAGTTTCAGCTCTGCACAAGGTTTCTACTAACACCACAGTGGGTGGTTTGGTAGTTGACTCCTATGAAACTATCCAAGTGGGAATGGGGTGCCTTTTCTCTGTAGGGTGAGGGTGACTATTTATGTGTTTTCTCCTGATACTGCGAAATGGGAGGCTCACCACAGGCTGGTGGAGATGAAGACCCAATGCACTATTTATATTTCCCTGACACCACCTCAGCATAGGTGTTGGGATTCCTCATCATAGCCTATCGAAACTGGAAGTCTAGGTTCCCCACTCGAACTTTGCTGGCCTGAGAGTGGGATTGAGGTAGTATCATTTTTTTTTTTCCCTTTGTTATTTGTCTGGAGTAGAGCAGTCATTTCAAGGTTTCATCTTGCTAAGCTGCCCCATTCCTAACATCCAGAGTCAGATTGGCTGGAGAAAATAAGCTTTTGCTGGGGCTTAATTTGTCTGCATTTGTTGCTGTTTTCCAGTTGCCAGCCTTTTCATCTTTAAGTCTGGAATATACAAGGCAAAAAGAAAATCTCAGGAATCCATTTCTGTGTTGTTCCTCAGGTACCAGGGTTCTTAGCCAGCTTGTCTTCTTTGTCACCGCTGGCAGTCTCCCTTTATTTGTTACAAGTACAGTGTCTAGGATTTTGTTTTATACTTAGGTACCATATGAAAACGTGTATCTACTCCACCTTCCCAGAAGCCAAATTCTCTTATGTAGAATGGGATTCACCATCAAATTATTTATCCATGTGTTATATAGATCTTAATTAGTAATAGTATCTGACATTTTCTTTATGTCACTTATAGTAATTAATCAACCAAGATTATATTAATTCATATTGGCTTTCAGAAATCTAATGAAAGTATCAGTTTGTTGTAGAGTATCATTGTGTCACTCTTAGGAAGTAATAAATGTATTAAGAGAAAATACTTTCATGTGAAATAGAAAAATCTGAAAAGTACACATAGTATATCAGATGAAGAGATGAAAAGAAAATATAGAATAACACATTATTCATAAAACCACTTTGCCAAAAAATGTTTTCAAAACCACTAAGCTACTAAAATTAAGTTTTCATTCTTCCTGCTTTACCTTATGCTATTACTTGGCAAAATAGAAACTTTCTTTTTTTTATTTTATCATTTTTGCATTTACCTACATGCGTATACCTTATTTGGACCGCCCTCCCCCCCTGCAGCCCCGCCTCCAGGCTGAACCTGTTCCACCCCCTTGTTCTCTGATTTTGTAGAAGAAAACATATAAAAGATAATAAGAAAAACATGACATTTTAGCTAGTTTGAGATAAAGATAGCAATACAAGGAGATTCTTTGTGCTGTTTCCATGCATATGTATATTACAACCCAAACTGGTTCATCTCTACCAGACCTCTTCACTACTTCCTAGTCTCCTTCCCATAGTGGGCTCTGCCAGTTTAAGATTACTATATTCATTCCTATACAGTGAGTACATCAACCACATTCAAGTTTTTGGTTTCCTTCCTTTTCCCTATCCCTCCAGTGTGAGGTCTCCCCTTAGTGTGTGACCCATGTCCAATAATATTACTGCATTTGTTTTAGGTCTATAATTGGCACATGAGGAAAACAGGCAATTTTTGGCCTTCTCAGCCTGACTAACTTAGCATAAGATGATGTTCTCCAGTTCCATCCATTTACCTGTGAATGTCAAAATATCATTCATTGTGGCTGAATAAAATTCCATTGTGTATAAATACCACATTTCCTTGATCCATTCGTTGGTAGTGGGGCATCTTGGCTGTTTCGATAGTGTGGCTATTGTAAATAGTGCTGCAATAAACATAGGTGTGCAGGTGCCTTTGTAATAACTTGAGCCGCATTCCTTTGGGTATATTCCTAGGAGTGGTATTGCTGGATCATATGGCAGATCTCTGTTTAGTTTTTTAAGAAGCCTCCATATTGTTTTCCAGAGTGGTTGCATTAGCTTACATTCCCACCAGCAGCGTATGCAGGTTCCTTTTTGTCTGCTTCCTTGCCAACATTTGTTGTTGGTGGTGTTTTGATGATAGCTATTCTAACAGGAGTAAGGTAAAATCTTAGTATGGTTTTGATATGCATTTCCTTTATGGCCAGGGATGGTAAGAGTTTTTTTTCATGTGTTTTTAGCCATTTGGACTTCTTCCCTTGAAAAAATTCTATTTATTTCAGTTGCCCATTTCTTTATTGGGTCATTGATTTGGGGAGAGCTTAGTTTTTTGAGCTCCCTGTATACTTTGGTTATCAGTTCCTTGTCTGAGGTATAACTAGCAAAGATTTTCTCCCATTCTGTAGGTAGCCTCTTCAATTTAGACACCATTTCTTTTGTTGTACAGAAGTTTTTTAATTTCATGTAGTTCCATTTGTTAATCCTTTCTCTTAGTTGCTGAACTGCTGGAGTTCTGTTGAGGAAGTCCGTGCCTAAACCTATTGCTAGAAACATTCTTGATGTTAGGAAAATTAACTCAAAATCAAATATCCCTATTCCTGATGAAAAGTTAACAACAGGCAAAAATGAGAGAAAGATGAAGCACAAGGAGTTAATTTGAAGCTAAATCCTCAATACTAAGACTACTTTGAAATTTTAAAACATATTACTTATGGTAAAAGTATTTCAACAGTTGCCTGTTGCTGCAAGTAGAGCATATCTTGAGAAAGATGACACTGATTATGTTCCTGACTTCCTGTTTTTCACAGATGAACTATATTAGGAAAATAACAATTGAAGACTTTTATATAATTATTTCAGAAAAAATTTCAAACCAGGCATGGCTGTGCACACCAGTAATCCCAGCACTCAGGAGTCAGAGGCAGGAGCATTGCAATTTCCAGGCCAGTCTCAGCTACATAGTGAGACCATTTCTCAAAGAAAACCAACCAAACAAAAAAGACAATTGTGACCAAATCATCAGGTGTATTGCAGGTAGCTATTTGGCTAGTTACTGAATTTGTGCTGATTTGGTGTTTAATGAACTGCTAAAGTTGAATGAGTTCTAGAGCCCAACTGTCAAGAAAATATTATGCTTAGTGTTTATCTCTTGGCATTAATTACTGCTATCTTTTGGTTTTACTAGGTTTGCTAGGTTTTCAGCTCAAGCTGGTCTAAAACTTGCTATATAGCTTAGGGTTGCCTCAAACCCATGACCTTCCTGCCTCAGTTTTCTGAGTGCTGGGATTATAGGTATGTGCCTCCAGGTCCGTTTACATTTTCATATTGTTTCCTAAATGCTGCATAGCCTTCTGAGACATATATAATAAATGACTAGCATAGAAATAAGATATTTTCTAGGGATTATGATAAATATTTTGAGTGTCATCTATTTTTAAACACTACACTGATTTTTTTCTTTCTTTAAAGTTAATCAACAAATCACCACTTTGCAGATATTAGAAAGGATAAAAATTTGACAGAGTAAAAATATCAGAGAAGCTCCAGAATGTCTAAAAAGAAAATACACATACCTGAAAAATAATTTATGTAAAATGGATCCGAGACAGGCAAACATTTCTTCACCTATAAATATTTAAAGTATGCACATATTCATAAATATTAATCACAGTGTGTGATTCAGCTGCCTTTCAATTTGCCCTGATGACTCTTGCCAACCTAACTGGTATTAAGAATGACCTGGGCCTCACACTTAAGAAGTAGATTTCCAAGAATTGTTCATATAATACCTAGATGTGAGACTTAGGTGGGCTATTATTGATCAGACATATTTGGAAAATGCTATGTTAAAAGAGCTCCTGTGGAGCAGTGATAAGTTACTCAAAATTTCGAAGTCTTACCAAAAAGTAAAACAAAAACAATAAACAGCAGGCTCAAAAATGCTAACAGGCATTTAAGCCTATGACTCACCTTATTGAGTAAAGAACATTTCCGTTTTTGAAAATTCTTAGCAGTTTGTTGTCTGTAGTGACTTCATGAAAGTTGGCACCCTTTTCATTGGCAAAGAACAAATCAGGTTTCCAAATGGAGTCCAACATGGACGGGTCAAGATCTAAAGAATCATCAGGATATTCACTGTATGCCAGACGGGGATCATTCCATTTCTGACGAAGAAAGATATTCACTCTGTAATCCTGAGAGAGAGAGAGAGAGAGAGAAAGAGAGAGAGACAGAGACAGAGAGACAGAGAAAAAGAATGAATGAGAGAAGATCTGCTTTTAAGTTGAGAAGAATCCACACTATCAACATACGGTCAACTGCAAGTTCGTGAATTGTAACAGATGCACTGCTCAGTAAGAGCACCTGGTAACAGAGGAGGCTGTGCACAGGTAGGGTCAAGGAATATATGGAAACACCTGTATCTTTGCCTCATTTTTCTGTGAACCTAAAACTTCTCTAAAAATAAGGTAATAAAAAAGTTCATAACCTTATGTGCTATTATTTGGGCTTTTCTGAATTATAGCAAGAACCTTTAACATTTCTGGGAGCTTTTCACACCTGACATCCTTACTCATCATTGCCTGAAAGAGTCATCCGAAGACTTACTTGCCCATGACTTTGTAACCTATATCCTTCCAAAGAAAAGACCACAGAAAACCAGTTTTTCATATTTATTTTTGTTGTTCTGTTCAAATTTCACTTTTCTTGTTTGTGAGAATGAAATATTAGATTGCTATTAGACACTTGGAGTGATATATTTTCACATTTGTATTTATTTTCTAGAATCATTTCTATTATTAGATATCCAACAGGATCCAGAATGTACTTAGTGAAATTTTCATGAAAGCTGTCTGTGTTACAAAAATAACCATAGTACTTCTTCACAATAAAAACACATTTTCTTGTGTTTAGTATGGCAAGTTATGTGCAGTAAGTAGTTTTGGAAAAAATTAAAGGTGACTTTTGAACAATAAAGCATAATAAAGGTTAATTATAATAATCTTTTAAGTTGATTTGGCTAATAAGATTTCCAAAATTTGTAGATAATTTTAAAGGGTGAAGAATCAATGGTTTCAACCAGATTCTTGCTTACAACTTCTGGACTAATGTATGGAATGACAGGTTGATAGCATACGTGCAGTGTTTGTGCATACACAATGTATTAAAATAAGTACCACATATGCCTTTACAAATACAATTTCACCTTAGATTTTTAAAGTGAGAAAATCAATAGAGACTTCATTATCATCATGGTTAATGCAAATATTTGAAGAAAACTTCATTTGTCTGAAAAATACTAATGGTGGAGATACACAGAAACACTGGAAAATAATTTTCATCCATTTTTCTTCTTTTCTGAATACCAAATTACAAGTCTTCCAAATATAGCAACAGGACATTTCCACAGTATCACACCAGGTAAGTCACATTCAGACTTTCTACTGACTGTTGCAAATCTGTATGTCCTTTTGATCCGTGCACAGTGATCTCTGCATGGAGACCACTATCTTCCAACTGCAACGAAGGCTATAATCAAATAATATTCTCCTCTGCTTGATAAGTGTTCCATTCATCCTCCAAAGTGGAGGATGGCTCTTCTTATGGCTACAGTGATCATCTCAGAACAGAATACAAATACCACTAAATTTGTGGCATTTTGTTTCAGCAGCAATAGAAAACAAAAGATGCATGTTTATATGCATACATCGCATTATCAAACTTTTGAAGAAATTTTTAATAAATTTTGTGTGTGTGTGAGTAACTGGGGGAAAGGGTACAACATTTAAGGCAAACATCACAATTCCTGGGCTCATGGACAAATAAACCAGAATTCTTTCTGTTTGAAAAATATTTGGCATACTGTTAGAACTTTTATAAATACCACATGTCCCCTCACCCAGCACAACAATATGCATAGATAAAACTAAAATTAAGAAGTCCTAATTAGAGATCTAAGATATACAGAGAATAACTTCTCTTTGTAAAGAAATAAGAACAAAGCTGGAGCTCCCTAAGAAATGCCTCACTGGGTTAGTTTTGTAGGATGTTCCAATCCTGAAGCACTGCATGTACGCTTCCATGCTTCACAAAGCACAGAACGCTAATACTCAATAGTGGAGTAATTGCTTTTAGTGTCATCTCTCTAATATCCCCCATGCTGCCTGTGCCATCTGCTCTAGGAGCCCACCACAGGCAGGGTGGTCATCAGGGACCACTGATTCTGAAATAATGGCCTACTGGGAAAGTGCCTTTCAAGTCTCAGTTACTAAACTGATAGGGAAGAAAGCCATTTTATAAGAACTATTTAGAAGCTTAGAAAGTTTATTTCAAATTTTCCCTTGAATGTTTCATTATCCATATGTTTATTCTCTTTGAAAAGGGCAAACGTATTTTTTAAATTACCAAAGAAAATTTAAAGGAACATAATTGTGTACCAATTCTGGAAACAGAAAAATAAGAAGTATTGGTTAGAAGCCAGGCTTAGGGGAACATGCCTGTAAGTCCAGCACTTGGGAGGCAGTACTGAGGCAGGAGGACTGCAAGTTGCAGGCTAGCCTTGGCTACATGGTGATTCCAAGGCCCAGCATGAGTTAAGTTGTGATACTCTGTCCTAAAAAATTAGAGGCTGGGATATAGCTTGGTGGTAGAGCACTTGCTTAGCCTTTGAAAGGCACTGGGTTTGATCCCTAGCATCACACACACAAAAAAGAAGTACTAATTAGAACATAAAGTGTGTTGAATTAGTGGAACAATGCTCTGAATCTCATTCAGCAAGCTTTGGGTAAATTTAAAATTGGAAATTAAAGACAGGAGCCAGGCATCATGGCTTACACCTATAAGCCAACAACCTGAGAGGCAGAGATCAAGATGATCACAGTTTAAGGCCAGTATGGGCAAAAAATTAGTGAGACTGCATATCAAAAAACCAACCAGATGTAGTGGTTCACACTTGTAATCTCAGCTGTGCCAGAGGTATAAATAAGAGGATAATGTTTTAAGCCTGGTATGGGCAAGAATGTAAAATCCTATCTGAAAAAAAAAACTAATGCAAAAAAGGACTAGGGGCATGGATCAAGTGATAGAGCAAACAAAGACCCTAAGTGAAAACCCCAGTATTCCCTTCTCCCCCAAAAAAAATAAAAAGAAAAGAAAGGAAAATTAAAAATAGTATAGAATAAAGAACACGGACCAATCCTTACACTCCACTGTAAGAATTTCTGGAAAGATAGATAGTCTATATAAACATTCTTCCAAATGTAGGGATTTATTGAAATTAATATAGTTCATTCCATTTGGGAATGCCTGGTTTTAGAGCTAAACACCTGAACAGAGCCAGTATTCTGAAGCAGCTTGTTGTTAATGCAAAACTGTAATTTATGTTGCATAATTTGTACTGTCTTAATGTGATGTATAGCAGTGATTACCTGACCCTTTTCATCTATCCATTTTCTGCCACTCATGCTTGCTTACATTATTACTTAAGTCCCCTTGTCTGAAAACTGTATGCTTAATTATCAGCCTTCTTAAAATTGACTTAGACAACCAGGTAGAAGATACTCCTTCACAGCAAGGTTATGCCAACAAACCTGTAAGGTAGGAGAAAAAAAGTGGCTTAACTTCCTGCATCACATATCTGTCCACTTTTACAGGCCCTTAAACTCCACTTGATTTTGTGTTACATCAGGTAGGAAGAGACAGCTTGCATATTTCTCATTATTTAGTCAACACTGATATGGAAATTCTGTAGTTACTACTTCTCTTCACAGCTTAAAACTTACATCATGAATCCATTCACTACAACACAGAACAAGCTCATTTGTTTGATTTTGTTCTTACCTGATGTTAATCACACAATTTGCACACTAAAATGAACATAGCTACTTACACATAAGACTTGTTAATTTGTAATATGTATATTTAATGATATGTGAGCAGTGATCTGTTTATTTTTGGTTTTAGACTTCTTTTAAATAATTATTGTTTTACTTTTAGAATATATAACTTGCATCATAAAAAGATCAAAGTGTTTGGAGAAATGAAGTATAATTTGGTTTTCAGAACATCCTGTTGTCCATCAGCACCAGAAATGCTCTTCAAATAACCATTCTAGAATTCTAAAATTGTTTCCTTTGGAAGACAACTTTTTTGAGGAAACTGAAAGACACATTGTTCTTTAAGGAACAGAAAATAGCATCATACAATAATAAACTTTTGAACACACTAGTCTTCTAACTAGTTGTGTTTCCTTGAATGTCTGATGTAAAATGTGTTATATATTGTATTTTTAAAAACATTGTCGTTAAATACACATACATTTACTGCTAGTGACTTTATATATTAATATTATGTAGCCATCACCACACCACTTAATTTCAGTTCATTTTTGTCACCCCCAATGGGAAATCCTGCATCAATTAAGCAATTCCCTTACTACTGGCCTAAAACCACCAGCAACCATTAATCTGCTATCAATCTCTATAGAGTTGCTGATGCTGGATATTTCATATTAGTGGACTTATACAATATGTGACCTTTTGTGTCTGGAATCTTTTACATAGCATAATGTTTATAAGATTTTTAAAGTTTATTTAAGAACTTAGAGATCATTTACTTCATTAACAGAAACTTGAAGTGTCATGTTGCAAGAATTCTACCAGTAGAGTGATTATATTACAAAGATATAAATGTTTTTAGAATTTAATGCTATATGTATGTGTATTATATATATATACACATATATATATATACATTACAACACAATGTATGTAAATTGCTATATGTGTGAATATAAGTGTGTGAATATGTATACATACTAATATATAAGCCATCACAATCGATAATAATCATAAAAATGAAACAATAACTAACATTAATGAATTATATTAATTTTCAGCCACAAAACCTGATCCTTTAAATATAATTTGGATTTGAAAAAAAATCAACGTCAGATAAATCTTTAAGATGTTCATTGGTTTTGAGATTAGCCAAGAAGCTATGTGGAGGCTGTGCACTGTGTTGTAAAACTGTAGAGGAATTAACTTCCTTCAAAAACCATTATTGAATGCTATACATTTAGATGGTTCTTAAGATTAATTTAACAGGCTGAAATGCTTGTTGCTTCTGAGCAAATGAAATGACTATTTAAAAAATCAACAATTTACTTTTAAATTATATATGTATAAGTATATATGTA